TCTATAATAAACCGGAGAGCTAAAGCTGTATAGCCTATATGTCAACATGTTACTGCCGCGTTAGAGCTCAGATTAATTCTAATTAATAATACAGATATTCAAACATTAATATTACAGAGAAGCGCACTTACTTCCAACGTCCAGCCTGGTACCGCCGCCGAAAGTGTACCACAGTGATTCACGGCGCATCAGTCGCCGTACAAAAACCTCACAGTAGTGCAGTGTGTGTGTATACAGTATATATATATATATATATATATATATATATATATATATATACACACAGTATATGTTCAAAAAGTAACCTGCTGTTCGATATCTGAAATTATAGCTACGACTTCACTATTAATAGTCCTATATTATTCTAACAAGTAGCCTAATAGGCCTGTGTTACACCTAATATGTTATCTGACTTAAGATTGATGTTTTAATTATCTATATCTTGTATATACATTATCCGATTCATATTCTTATTAAAGATCTAACAAGCTTCAGGGGATCTTCACGATTAAACCAGAGAAATCTGAGCATATAATAACAAAACGAAAATGCGAAAATACTTGCATATTACAGATTAAAAGCAGGATACTTACTACCAACATCCAGTCTGGTCCCGCCACCGAAAGTCCACCACAGTAATTGAAACCGGTTGACACGCCGTACAAAAACCTCCCAGCGCTAAAGCCGCGTTCCTTATTGAAGTAAAGACATTAATGGACGGTTAATTCCCTGCTATACATCCACATTTAATCAGATACATTTGGTCGGTATGTTTGTTTTTCTGTAAGAATCTCGGCAATTTACAACATTCTGGCTGTAAAATCCAGTATCGCTTTGCAGAAATTCTGTTAAATGCCGTAGATTTCCGAAGTTCCTGGTTTTCCGATATTTCTTCATAATGTCCTTCAAACTGATCCAGTGTGTTGTAAACATAATGTGTGAATTTCGACCCAGATGACAGAAATTGCAAAGCTTTAGAATTACTGGGTTCCCAAATGTCAATTGAGATCACAGCATATCGTCTTCATAATGAGAAACTATGTACAGGAACCTATTGTAACCAGACGGAGTATTTGCATAGAAACGATATTGTGTTGTAATGTAATCACGTGTTTGAGTGGCTCAGCCAGCAGCCTTGAGGTATTCCCTGTTATGGTTTGTGATCAATGTTCCCTTTAAGCTCCGCGTTTGCGCAATTGCGCAGTACTCCGGGGCACGCGCTCATGAGGATAAAAATCGCGCCCACAACAACATGGTTTTTACTTGTGTTTATACAATGATATACATTTAAAACTGTAATTGCTGTATTTTGTATGAAAAAAAAACATTTGGAATAGTAATTATAAACTACTAAGAAATCCCTGTATAAACCCTCTTAAAATGTATCTTTCTACCTGAGTGACAGGTAGCCTATAAAATCTGTCAGCCAACCAAGCAAATGAACATCTCGTATTTTCTGAAAACGCGTCTCTAACGTCACAAAATAAGTTATCTTGTTAACGAAGAGAGTACCATGAATCATGAACAATGAAATGAACAGATACTCAAACACAAGTGGAACCCAACTCAAGTCAAATTAATAATCGACAATGTTCTANAACCACAGTGATTCACGGCGCATCAGTCGCCGTACAAAAACCTCACAGCAGTGCAGTACAGGCAACTAACAAACCGCTTTAAGTATATACCTAATATTTGTTTATGGGTATAAAACTAATAAGACAAAAATTGTATTTTCTGTCACTTAGATAAAGTATGTTGGAAAAGCAAAGCCCTGTTCGTTATCTATAAAATCTAATCAAATCTTTAACCTTCAACTTTACGATGATTATATTATTAACGATTAGGCTAACAAGTTATTACTTGTATATTAACCGGCCGTAAGTGGATATTAAATGGATGATTTAAATATCTGTATGTTGCATATGAATAATCCAATTAATATTCTTATCGAAGATCTTCACGATATGCAACAAGATCAATTTTAGTATTTGCAATAATAACGAAACTGAAGTAGGCGTGTATGTGTTAAATATTTCTACTTGCTTTTTGTAGATTAAAAGCCTTATACTTACTGCCAACATCCAGTCTGGTCCCGCCGCCGAAGGTTCTCCACAGTGATTGAATCTGATTGAGACGCCGTACAAAAACCTCCCAGCACTACAACCGCGTCTCTGATTGCAATAAATATATATATATATATATATATATATATATATATATATATATATATATATAACACCATACTTATACACCAACACTTAACAAGATAGAAGTGGTAGGTATATATTTTTTTCCGTTTATTTAGGAATCACTGTAATTTATAACATTCTGACTGTGAAAATCACTACAGCTTTGCAGATACAACAAAATTCTGTCCACGATTTTCCAGAATTTCTTCCTAATGTCCTTTAAACCGTTGCTTATATTGCCAATCCTGCATGTTGTTGACATATTTATGTATTTCTACCAATCAGACAGAAACCGCAAAGCCTGAGAATTACTGGATTTAAAAATTTCAAGTGAGATCACAGCTTTCTTCATAAAGTATGTACAGGAACCTACTGTAACCAGACAGAGTATTTGCATAGAAATGACATTGTGCTGTATTGGTGGCACGTGTTTGAGTGGCTCAGTCTTGTGGATTCGCACCACAGGAAGTTGGGGGTTCAATTCCCAGCACTCATTGTGTGTTTTCATGGTCTCACTGTATTCCTAGGGGTTTATGCTGGGTGATGCCCCCCTCTCCCCCCAGTTCAAATACATGCAGTTAGGAAACTGGTTTCTCAAATTTGCTCCTGTGCTAGATAAGCAGTTATGGAACATGAATGTCCAGGTTAATGCAAATAATTGCAAAACATACACTGTCTGGCCAAAAAGAAAAAAACAAGGCTTTAATATTTCGCTTTTAGCTTTGATTACAGCACACATTCATCATGGCATTGTTTAGACTAGCTTATGCAATGTCTCAACATTAATGTTTTTCCAGATTTGCTTGAATTTTTTCCAGAGATCTTGCATTGACAACAGAAGTGAAACCATTCTGTAAAGTCTTCTCAAGCACATCCCAAAGACTTTCAGTGGGGTTAAGGTCAGCACACTGTGGTTGCCAATTCATTGATGAGAATGATTGCTCAGGTGATCTGTTTCCATGGCGATGGGAAGGCAATCCTTGGTGCTCATTAACAGTGTTAGGTCACAGTTTTTATTAACACAGTTTCAGTTAGTCTTTTATTTTTTTTATTAAATTAATGAATGAAAGTTATTTTTATATAGCGCTTTACAGAAGTAATTGACACTTTCACTACCACTGTGCAGCACTAACTGGAAGTCTCCATTGTAGGATCACACATGTACATATGACAGAGCTTAAATTCCAGGTGGCCTGAGACAAGGCCGAGCCTGGTACGAGAGGTACTCGCTGGCCTAAGCACCAAAGGGGGGTTAATGACCCCACACACACAAACACACTTAAACACACACAGACACACATACACACACTGATAACAAGGGAGGCCAGCACTCCAACTTTTATTGCCCTAAGATTTAGGGACCTACAGACAAGCAGAGTGGACCTAATGGACAGGGGTCCCTCGACTTGGCACACAACCCCCTCCCCAGACATCCTGCCTTACATACCACTCACCCAACAGCCCAACACCCTAAAGAAAGTTTCTTTTACGTTTGGCTTTTGTATACCCTGTATATTGATTTACTCATGACTACTAGTCTCAATATACAGATAGGTTATGTTTGTATGTGTCCTTAGACAATCTTAACGT